GCTTACTCGGATACATTCACTTTTAAATAGACCCGTTGATGCTAATTTGTAAACTGCTTATTAGGAAATATTACATTTTTTTTTATTTAAGTTTTTTCCTTCTGGGGTAATATCGGCAAGGAATCATCCAAAAACGGTTCTGTTATTTTTTTTTTTTTATGTTTAAAAAAGTCATTCTCTAAATCGACTACTATGAATATTACAATGTTTTTACCGATGGGAAGCACAAACAATCACACAAGTCTTTTATATTAATATAGTATCATAGTTTTTTTGTACCACGCAATCTTGTACGGTACCATTGTATGCCAAACTTTCGGAGTCTACAAAATCTTTGACGACGCTTATAACTTCTTCCATTGTGTATTCATGGAGTAAACTATCAACATATTCTGAAATTACAATATATAATTTTTTTTTCAATAACCTTTAAAGAAATAAATTGAATATTTAAAAAATGTCTCTTCGATAGTTTTTGAACATTTTACTCAACATGTTTATTGAATTTACCTTTTGATTCCAGCAGCAACTCATCCTTACCAGGGAACTCTATGGATAATTTTAATTTAGCGACTACTTTAATTAATACATCTTTTAATCCTTCATAGCCTGTGCCATCTTGGCCAACATTTTCCCTGACTATATTTCTTATTATTTCCTATTGTTTCAAAATAAGAATGTATATTAGTATAATTTACCTGTAAAACTTAGCCTTCGTTAGCGAAATAAAAACGATAAACTGACAGTCATATTATGCGGATTATCATTATTAGGAATAATTGTTAGTAAGTGAACAGTAAAAAGACTCTTTGATACGAAAATGGAGGCGATAAAATCTTGATGTTTTCTATTAATCATAAATGTTTATTGTTCAATATACTTACACGTTGTTCTGGAGTAGGCTGTGCACCCTGACATTCCAATAAGTACAATGCCAAGCTGAAAAACAGTATCATAGTTTTCGAATACATTTTTATTTTTCAAATAATAGGTAACCTACTAGAGTACTTGTTTTAGAAAAAAAAGGCTTGAAGAATGAAAACAGTTCCAAGTTTTGCAACACAAAAGGGACAACGTATACTAATGGCTAACTGTTAAACACGTAGTCGTTTTCTGTAGGTGTTCAGTACGCGGGATTTATGAAATATATTATATTTTGTTTTTGCCAATAGTCAAATGATAGAGCAGTTGAAAACAACGTATTATTACATCTGTGTATACAAATCCTAGTACTATATATCTGTTTTGTCGGCTTACGATTTAATACTAGTGTAACCATCGATTTTCCAAGCTCTTAGAAAAAGCTTACACACTAACACACACACATAAAAAACCGAATTCGAGCGAAACGGTGTTATAAGTTGAAAATTATTTAAAAGCAGTGGATTTAAAAAAAAATCGGGTTGTTACTTTGTGAAAAAAACCCAAATTAGATTTGTAAATTGTCAATCTAGTAAAATAGAAGTATAATAGAGGTTTGAAAGAATAATATAGTCTATGAAGTATAAATAGTTAGTAAGAGCTTGCTCTAATGGAAGTATATAATACATAAATATTAATTTTATTGAGAATAAGCGATTATAAATTAAACTATAAAGTACAAACGATTGAAATATTATTCGTTGACTATTCCAACTAAATTAACAAATACATGACACTGTATATGGGCTATTTGGCCCACAATTTTTTTGCAAAAAAATAAAAACTGGTACAGTGGGGTCGGGGCATAGTTTTACTGTTTTTTTTTTCATGGTCGCTATCTGTATTTAACCAATGTGACTACGGAGACTCTGGTAACACATCACTTTTCAATAAAAACGAGAAAGCATAGAACAAGACTTAAATATTTATTCTAAAGAATTTCTCGATATAAGTACTTTCCATAAACTGTACAGGTCATCTAGAAAGCAACTTTTGCCATATTTTAATGTCAGTTTGATTTTATTTTGTATAATTATGTTTTGTCAAAAGAAAAACAACTCCAAATTATCCTATTTGTTGTCTACTGTCACACCGTCCCCTAAAACCCTTTCGGTAAACCTTGGCCAGACTGCAAACGGAATCGGCGAGTCATTGTACTTTGTTCTGATCTGTTCTGCGCAATAGCAGCTGCTCCCCTAGTGGGTATGTACCTATTATAATAAATCTCCCTTGTGGTGGCGATCAATGAAGCTGTTCGAGGGTAGAGGGTTCAGCTACATACATTTATTGTACACAGAGTTCATTTGTGCATCGTCCACGACCTGGAAAAAACTGCCGCCCAAGTCTGCTCTTGAATGCTATGAAAAAAGGGCCGCGTTAAGGTGAGTTTTAGATTATTATTATTTTTTAAATGCACGCACATAATATAATAATATATTAGCTACGCCATGATTTACACGATTGTGTATGTTTGCTTATTTATTACCGCCGGAATTTATTTTATTACTGGTTAATACCTATTTTTGTAGCTAACAACTCAAAATGCTCTTAATGCTATTATTAAATTTATACAATACAAGTACATTATTTCGTCGAGTGTACTATAAAGCCAAATTAATGACCACAGCGAAATTCTGCAAGGAAAATCTTATTAGTATAGTATGTGCAAAAAACTTTTAGATATGATATGATAATAATCTAAAAGATTTTTTGCAGACACTGTATTGGTAACGAATATTCTACATTAATGAGACGGCCGGCTTCCATGTCTTTAGGTCCGATTTCAATTCTGAGCGGAACTCCCTACAAAAAAAAAAACAAACACAAAGTGTTAACAAACATGAGAAAACATTTTTTTTACATTTATAGTACCTTCAATTCCCAGTGGTTGAATTTCCAACCGGGTGAATAATTATCCCTCAAGTCGGTCTCCGCTCGAATACTGTTTGGAGACGGGACCGGATCTTGATCTCCCAAGAGTGCGTTTTTCACGGTATCGCACAAATTCAACAGTCGATCTTTGACGCTCGGCTCTGTGCTGGCGCCAACGCCACACGGTACGATAATGACCTGAAATCAATTGTTATCAAGTTCAAACCAATCCGTCCAGCTACAACAACAACTATAATACATAAACAATCCCATTGTTTTCCGTTACCTGAACTTTGCGACTTTGGGAGGCAGCAGAAGACCACGGTCATCGCCGTGCACCATCACCATCACTCCAATGGTCCGTGTCGTCATACCGTAAGATATTTGATGAGCGTACTCAGGCTGATGAGTGTCTGGATGCTCGAACTGAACATCAAACATTCGTGCGAAATTCGTTCCCAAGTAATGTGAGGTGGCCGCTTGAATGGCTCTACCGCTCGCCGGAACGTAGGCTTCGACGGTGGTGGTAAATACGCCGCCAGCAAACTTCTCCTTTTCGGTTTTTTTCCCTGGCACCACGGGTACCGCAAGCAAGTCTTCGTACACTTGTTTATAGAAATCTAAAACATCACATTGGCATAAAATTCTACAATCAAATCAAATTTCTCAAGTTATTTGTCGCGGGTTAAGAAGAAGCGCTTTTCTTTCCGAAACGATGACACTCGACAGTTCAATACTGTCCAACGACAATGTTGCAATATTTTTTTTATGTATTGAAAAGAAATCATTGCTGTAAGACTATTTCCTTTTTGACGATTATGATTTACCTAAGACTTTGAGTACATCCCGTTCGGCTTCATCTTGGGTTGCGTACGCATGATGACCTTCTTGCCATAAGAATTCGCGAGTCCTCAGAAACGGTTGAGGATGTTTGAACTCCCAGCGCTAAAAGAAAACATTAGGACAATTTCAATGATTTCAATGGGTTTCAATTATTTTAATAATTGCATTATTAACGTTCGAATTATTCTCTCAATTTAATTTGTCAACAAAATTGAGACGCAATAACATTTTTTTCTTTTATCATATACGTACCACTACATTATTCCATTGGTTCAACTTCAAAGGCAAATCTCTGTAGGATTGAATCCATTTTGCAAATGCTGGATACATAACAGTTTCACTAGTAGGTCTGATAGCAATGTGTTCTTGTAATTCTGTATCGCCAGATTTTGTTACCCATGCTACCTATAGTAATTTTTAAACATACAACGAAACTATTAAACACAATGAATTGAAACAATCGTTGTCTTTATAATTAAGAACAATATATAACCTTAACATATCACTGTATTTAAACAGTAATATTATAATTTATAATATTGTATATTATAATTTGTTAAAGGTGGTTATGGGTATAAAATTTAAAGTGTTTTTTATAAATCTCTTACCTCTGGTGCAAAATCTTCTATGTGCGCTTTTTCTTTTTCCAAAACCGCTTTCGACACAAATATTGGGAAGTAACAATTGCGCACGCCCAATTGCCTTTTGATAACATTGTCAAACCATTTTTGTAGCTGCTCCCAAATACCGAACGACCATGGTCTTAATACATAACAACCGCTAACATCATAGTACTCAATCATCTCTCCTTTAGTCAACACCTGAGAATACCAGTCAGGTAAATCTACAAACTTCTTGGCTTCTAATCCTAACCGAGTAATTTTCTTCACACCGGCCTCACTGGCGTTTGCAGAAGCTGTTGATTTTTCTTGTTAATTCTTTTGGTCTACTTTTTTATCTGATTTTCCGACATTTTTCTGAGATGGTGGCGCTGATTGAGGTTTAGAAGTTTGAGCACCAGCTTGATATTCTTTACCGACAGTACTTTTGTATTCTGCTTTTAATGCTAAGAGCGCTTTAACAGCTTCGGATACAGCGTCTTTACTAGCACCCGATGATTTCAGCTGTCTAACTTTGTCTCCCTGTTCGGTCACACGAGCATAGAGTTGCTCTTCTTGGTTGGTAGTGCTAGGTGCATTTGTCGGCGGTGTGGGAGCAGATTTTGCTGGAGGCTGATTAGGTTGATAATCTTTTCCAGAAGCTTGTTTATATTCTGCTTTTAATGCAAGGAGTGCTTTAACAGCTTCGGATACAGCGTCTTTACTAGCACCCGATGATTTCAGCTGTCTAACTTTGTCTCCCTGTTCGGTCACACGAGCATAGAGTTGCTCTTCTTGGTTGGTAGTGCTAGGTGCATTTGTCGGCGGTGTGGGAGCAGATTTTGCTGGGGGCTGATTAGGTTGATAATCTTTTCCAGAAGCTTGTTTGTATTCTGCTTTTAATGCTAAGAGCGCTTTAACAGCTTCAGATACAGCGTCTTTACTAGCACCCGATGATTTCAGCTGTCGTACTTTGTCTCCCTGTTCGGTCACACGAGTGTAAAGTTCATTTTCTTGGTTGGTAGTATTTGCACAATTTGGAGTTTGAGCTTGATTGCTTTTTTTTTCTGATGCTGCTGAATTACCACTACTTACTGTTGCTTGTTGCTTGGTATGACCATCTGGTACAGAAAACAAGATTACAGGGCATTCTTTGCTTGTGTGAATACTGAAAAAAAAAATAGTATCGAGTCAAACAATGTACATTTTCTATATTTTTAAGGAAATTACGATTTATGAAGAAAATATGAGTCAGGGTAAACAACAGATAAGCGCTATTTCTGAATAGCCTATTTGGACCCCCCGGTACATTGGAGTGTGACAAAAATGTTTTCAGTATTTTTAATAATAACATTAAGTAATTTTGATGCTAATACAATGACACTAAAATCAAAATCCTAAAAATGTTTGTGTAAAATATATTTGAATTATGTTTAAAAGAATATTGGTAAAATGTATTCTACTTATCAATAATAAATTAAGTCATAGCCTATAATAATATTAAATATAAAAAAAAACAAAATCATAAATGTATAAATACCTAAACGGCTGATAGGGAGTGTCGCATATGAAGTAACCAGGCCGACGTTGCAACTGTATAACTTGGCCTTTTTTCACATTGCGCAACTCTGGATCACCCAACATTGGTACTTCTAAACGAGTCTTACACGACGATAGATCTTCCAAGTCGCTTACATATTGTTTGAAATCTTCATCTTTAGCCAGTACAGGTTTACTTATTAAGTGATTGAAAAATACACAAAAACAGGGTACAAGCGCTGGTACGTCGGAAGATTTGTTTTCAGCAGGTACAATTTTTGGCAGCCATGTAAGTTTTGTGGTTTTTTTGTAATCGGTATCATTTAATGCTGTTTTTATGTTGATCGATTCAATCTTGCCACTTGAATTTCTAAAAATCAATCAATAAAATATATTAACACTCCTAATTGGTTATATTTAAAATTGAACTAGTATAAAATATAAATAGAAGACGACAAATACAAAAAAACAAAAAAAAGAACTCAGAATTCTATAATAATTACTTGTTGATTTTAGTCACGATAACGTTTCCCCAGTTTATGAACGTGACTTTAGCTCCAACGCCACTACTAGCCAAGCCCTCGGCGTCAACATAATCGATAAGCAACGTAGGAGTGATCCATACGTCTTTTGTGCCCAAGTCAGGATTTTTTGGATGTCTCTGTACATTCTTTATAACATACGGTTCTTTAACATCTTCAACATAGACCGGAACTGATGCGTTTAGTTCCACCGTAGTATGACGTGGAGCAACGGGGTCTACTATACGTTTGTTAATCGACCAAATTTTATCCCACTCCATCGTAACGACTGTACGAGAAGATCCTTGAGCAATAATAAATTGACGCAGAGCTTCCACTTGCATACCTCTCCTTAACACTCCTCTAACAGTAGGCATGCGTGGGTCGTCCCTTTAAAAGACAAACAAATTACATTGTAAATAATTTGTTTGACACGAAACAGTAAAATGTACGACTTATAAAAAAAAAAAAAATTAAACGTAAGAGTATAATATGTTTGCACTTGTTATATTGATGGCTTAATGCACACTTATCACAAGTAGACTTTTTTTCCAAAATACACTTTTTGATATCAATGAGCCATCAGTATTTGATACTGACTAACACTGAAAAATGTTTGATCTCATAATAGCAATAAATTTAAATTTAAAGCAAATAGTTAGAAACTTTGTTTCGCTCTCCTGAACAAATTCAATTCTGCGACATGATAAGTGTGCACTAATCTATCGATTTAGCCTTTAGAAATTTGATTTACCACTTACCAGCCATCCACCAAGCCTTCGTCAACAAACCACGTTAATTTTCTTTTAGACAAAACAGTGTTGGTCATGTTCAATCTACTGTACGACCAGACATAAGGCCGAGGGTTCAATTCCAGCGCGTCACAAAACCAATAGTACTGTTGATCTCGGTCGGCGTATTCAGTTGTACGTAAAGCATGTGTCACACCTTCCAAACTGTCCACTATTGGACACGCAAAATCGTACGTGGGATAGACCCTATAAATTGAAAATAAAGAAATTAAAATATTTAAGTATAACATGTTTTAATACGAGAAACAACTAAGAAATATTTGATTTACTTGTATTTGTTTCCAGTACGAGGATGAGTCTCAGGCTTACAACGGTAAATCGCAGGATCCCGCATACATCCGTTGTCCGAGAGCATGTCTATTTTGGCTCGGACACAACATTTCAGTCCAGTAGGGGTCGCGCTCAGCATCTCGTTCCATAATTTCACATTTTTATCGACAGCTAATGGAAGATATTTGTTTGTTAAACGTGATATCTTTACAAGATAAATTATTTAAGTTAAAATCCATTTTCAAACTTATAAATATTTACAATTGTTGCGGTTTTTCGATTCTATTCGCTTTTCTCGTTCTTGTTTCATTGTTTCCGGATCTGTATCATCGACATACACCATTCTTTTTTTTAACATTTGTTCACACAAGCTAATCATTTTGTCGAAATAATTTGACGTATACGAAAATACGTCCGGCTTGATTTCAAGTAGTTTTACGTCTTCCAAAATAACCTACAACAAAAAGTGTAATTGAACGTTTAAACTTAAAATTTAATTTGGCTTATTTCAGCTAGAAACCTTTTCGTAATCTTCTTTTTCTTTGGCTGGATTTGTATCGTCAAATCTCATAACCAAACGTCCCTTAAATTGTTCCTGATAATACTGATTAAGAAGTGCGGCTTTTGCATGACCGATGTGCAAGTACCTAAAATTACATTGTTAAGGGTACACTTACACATTTTACACGTTCCTACTTGTCAACTGTAATATCCTTTATAAATGTGTTCTATTGTTTTTGAAAACTTACCCGCTTGCTTCAGGCGGAAACCTTACGACGACCTTTCCCAATTCAGCTCCAGGAAGTTCAACAAATTTCCCTTGTTCCTTCGTGTCAGGGTTTGAATTTTTCGTTTGACTTTGATTTTTATCTTCGGCATTTTTGAAAGACGGCAAAGAGGAAATGAATTGTGACCATCTTTCAACGTGAGTGAGCTTGTTTGACACGCAAATGGCTTTTTTGTCTTGCAAATTTTCTAGCCAACAGAATACCACAATATCGGCTATGGTCAAAGTCGTACCAACCAGATATTTTGATGTGGTCGATGTAGCACTTAAACTTTTATCCAAATACTGAAGTTTTTCGACCTGATTTTTCTTTTCATCGTCGACAACAAAACTCAGCCAACTGTCTACCAACAATTGTTCTTCTATGTCTTTCCCATACAAATAAGAACAATTGGTTTTTCCTTTATTCGATGTGCCATGTTTATTTGACACTAGCCTGGCTATATAACGGGTCAAATCTATATCTTTATACGAGTTTGGCACTTGTACACCATTTATAGAGATTGAAGATTCGGTCTCTTTAATCTCGATTGATGCTATTTTAGCAGTGGTATGTGAAGCGGCTAAAACAAGACACGAAAAATTTAATAAAAAAAAATTATAAGAACATTTTTAAATTTTATATAGTTGATATAATCATTTTAGTACGGTAATTTAGTTTTGACTTCAATGTAAATCTTAGGTTAACTTTATACGTCGTCGGCGTAATTCGTAATCATCATACCTGAATTAGGCCGACAATATCTTAAAAAACAAGTTTTGAAAAATAACACTTAAGGAATGCTGATCTAAAATGAATTTAATAAAACTTTTAAAACATTTTATGTATTAAGTAAATAAATATAGCTGCAGCCAAATCATTTTTCGGGTAATGTTCAACAACAGTGTTAAAAATGTTAAATAAAATAATAAAACATTATTATTAAAAGCATAACGTAACAATATTGACTAGGACAAATGTTAATATATTTGTTAAAATTGTATTTTGAACTCTGTATAATATGAATATTGTACCTGAATTATTTTGTACTTTTATAGGTTACACTAATCACGTTCAGGACATATTTAATTGTTAAAATCAATTGTTTAACTGTTCAAAATCAAAGGGTAGCTAGATTGTCTGTATTGTTTGTTTTTCGTCGTAACAATATAATTTAGTATTAATGACAAATTCTTTTTAAAGTATATACTTTTACTTCAACCGTATAGTTAACATCTATTAAGATTTACTTTGAATCTGATACTAATTTACTGTACTGATTTACTTTTTTTTTTGGTTAGATTAAATTATTGACATATTTTCTGTCTCAATCCGTTCGGATCAGTGAAGCTAATAGAGCATTATTAAAGTACTTTTACTCACCCAAACGCCGGTGGTAAATTTTTTCCGCCATCGAAGAGGTACTCCGTAAAATTAACGAATGCTCTAGATAATTAACCCGAACGTCGTTAAACGCACATCAAACTGTATTGTAATTTGTAAACAAAACAAAATTGTTTATCCAAAATTGTTGCTTACCGCAGTACTATTGCGTCAACGAGTAACGCTGACACGTGTAATAGGCACAGCAGTAGCTGTGAGCTTTCCCAAACAAAATATAATATTATAAATGAAAGGTCTGCTGTTTAATTCACGTTGAACGCGGAGCCACATGAAACAAAACAAGTGAATGTAATGTAATACGGCAATATAATATTGAATATTTGACATGTGGCCGGTATCAGAGTAGCTGCTGCTGTTTGATAAGTGATAACAGCACACGATATTCTGTGATAACAGTTCTTCCAAATGATAATAACTGATAACAAGGTTTGGACTTAGCAAAGATTAATAAGGTGGTGGGCACTGAACTATATACAGTGTATACTATATAGCAGCATAGGTGGTTTTTTGGGGGGGCTTTAGTCCCAGACAATATTTAGACACTAATGTAGCCTACAATATATTTATTTTTCGTAAATTTTCCACTTTACGTATGTGTGGGCAGCTATATTTTGTCATTTTTTTCATTAATGCAATATGTATAATATTACAATCGAAGTTGATTATCAACTCATAACGAAATTATTACTATATAGTACATTTAATTTATAAATTATAAATATAAATATAACAACCAAAGCCGCTACTGTAGTAGTGTTAATAATTTTTTTTTTATAATTATAATTCTAATAGCACAATCAAAAATTGACCTTTTAACGCCTATAAAGAAAACGGTAAACTTTAAATTAAAAGGAAAATTGGAATCCGTCTTATTAATACAATCTAAAATTACATTGAGTTGTTTTTTATCAAACTTCCGCCAAAACTGAGAAAAATAGGTAATTTAAAAAGTTATAAAACTAGAAAAAAATAATATTTGTACGCCTTAAAATTAGTTAGAATGTACTTATATGATATATTTTCCCGCTCACAATTATCGTCCCTTATTTACTTTTCTTGTTTTATCTGATAATACTAATTTATAGTTCTCTATTATAAAAAAAAAACATATTTTATATTGTTATTAGTGGTAATTGTCAGCTAAGCAAAGATTTAAGTAACGAAAAATATGATATTTGATTTAAATATCACACAAAAATGTCTTTGAAATAATAGCTATCTAAATAAAAAAAATATATATATCTAACAGGGGAACAAATGTACCCAATGAACTTAAATGTACTTTACATTATTTTGTCTATTTATTTTAGCTAAAAAATTTACAAAAAAAACTAAAATTTAGTTTTATGTTCTCGACGAGGTGAGAAAAAGGGCTAGAATACTATTATTTCCATCCGCTTACTTTGTCTATAATTTAAAAAGCAAATAACACAAAAATTATTTAATACATTACAAACCAGTTTTTGGTGTCACTATACTTAATGGATGAACTAAATATTTAGGTTAAAATTTGACTTCTAAAAGTTATCTTAAACATTTATCCTTCAAAATAATACCTACTGTAAAATTGTTGTGTTTTAATTTACTATAGTAATTATAATTCAACTTAAGTATATAACAAGCTCCATTTGCCAAAACAAACTGAAATATTTTTTATGTATTAAAAACACTATCTGTACTATTTGCAGTAAAATAGACAATGAATTGGTTATATTTTTTAGCATGGCATATACCCCAAAATGTTTTAACATAAAAAAAAACCATTTCATTTTACCACGGGTTTTCAACTATTTTTATAATATCTGCGATAAGTTTGCCTTATATATAGATATATATATACAATGTTTATATTTTGTATTTGTTTATACTTAGCTGTGGAAAAGTAGTCTACAATGACAATAACAACCCTTCATCATACCCTCCCAATAGGTCTTGCCACTAGACGGTTGGCGGTCAGCCGCCAGGATAATAAAACATTAGAAGTTGTCTTGTGTAAAATGACACATAAACCACAATCAAACGTTATCCAACTAGTCTAAAAAAAACTAAGTATTAAAATATACATAAAAAAAAGCACATTTGAAAAAAAATGGTTTTTATACTTTTTTAGGTAATAGAAAATTAAATAAGAATTTTACTAAAATAAAAAAACCAATTGGGTTCGGGGGGGCTAAATCACATATTGGGGGGGGGGCAATGCCCCTTTAGCCCACCCCTAAGTCCGCCTATGTATAGCAGTGTCTGTTTTCTCACAAGTTGTATCACTTGGCTTGTTTCCTGCTCCCAACAGTCACAATTATGACTGTGATTATAACCACAAAACACAACTAATAAAAACAATAGCGTTATGCTATTTTCGTATCCGAATGTTTCACGAAACCAAAAAAATTAACGAAGACATAATAGGTAAAAATAAAATAAAAACATTGACGCGACTTGCAATATTTCAGAATGTTTAGTAACCACTAACTACGGACTGATAATAATTTCCTTCTTTTTACATTTTCACTTATTACCAAATAATTTATACTTAATAATTTTCTAAATTCAAAAACTTATTAAATCGTTAATGTTCTGCATGAGTACCAATTTTGTTGTTTCTTTCATTATCTTTTATCAGCGGTTAAAACAAAAAAAATGATATCGACAATATGAAGTCAGAAACAATCATCGAAAATTATTGAACAAAGTTAGATACGGCAAGTAAAATAACGAAACCGAATCAACATGGCGGCCTCTGAGGCTAGTCACTTTCGTTACATGGGAAATATGCATTGGGCACCTTCCTTGTATATAGTTCAGTGGTGGTGGGTTTATGCCATTCGTTTGCCGACTCCCGTCGCTGCCGTGTGTCGTCGTTTAACGTATTTCCGAAAAAAAAACAACAATGTGCTCTTATTCTTCTCAGTTCGCACCGTCTGAACAAAAGTTACAATTTACATTACTATATTTTAATCGTCAAGGCAGAATATGTTTCTTTTCTATTGTGTGGCAGTCAGCGCATGGTACGATAAATTATGCCTTGTAAAGGTAAGGCTTGAATTATTTAAGTAGTATTATAATTTAAAAAAAAAAACTAGTAATTTGTCGAATCGGCATGGAAAAAAATTGTTAATTGTTAGTAGGATTTATGAAAAAATATTATATGTACAAAATATCGTTATTGTGTGCTCGTTTATATGAGCGCTTTGAAGCGGTTGACATTTATAATAATATGTATAGACTATTTTGTTTATCACGGTTTTGAAAAGAAAACTTATTCTTTTAACTGATCATACAACTTCTATCATACTGTTCGGCTTAAATGTATTAACATTTATTTAACCTTAAAGTCAAGCAGTGGTGCCTTTGAGATTTCTGTTGGCTGTCGAATTATGGTGTTTACACCGCTCTCAATTTTGAGTGGGATAAATGTTATTTTTGCTTATTGTGTGGACAGTGGACAACCTATCAACTAGAGAATAGAGACTAGTATAGATACCTAAGATGCGACCACATGGAGGTTAATTCAGCTATTGATTTAAAATATTTTTGCAAACACTGTATTGGTAGAGAATATTCTACTTCAGTGATACACTAATGCGTTAGCATTGATATTGGTTATACTCAATGGTACTAATAATATGAGGTTTTTTCCACATTCACATTAATTGTATATACTATTCTAATTAAAATTTTCAATATTTTCACATTATAACTATACACATAATTTTCAAACTAAAATATTTAATCAACAATATTTTATATTAAAATAAAAAAAGTGATAGTCCAACCGTTGTCTACCGACAATTAAAAAAAATGTTTTACACTTTCACACATTTGTTTAAAGAATAGAATATCAGCTATATTGTTAGCCATTTGACTATCTGTTGATTATTCTTTAAACAAATGTGTGAAAGTGTAAAACAGTTGTTTTATTTAAAACAATAATTCGACTATTTTGTACTTGGTTAATCTGAACAACTAGATAAATGTCAAACAGAATTTAACAAATTCAGACTCTTGAAATTATACGTTTAATAAAATAAGATAGGAAAGTTATTTATAAGAAATTTGTTAAATATGTAAGGTACTCATCTCTGAGAAAAAAATTTAAATTTATAATTACACTAATTATTTTCCAAATAAAGTACTCAAACAAAAAATTTAATTAGGCTGATATTTTATAACATCACAAGATATAGCAAGAATCTACTTGGGTACTTATAGGATACTTATAGGTACTTATAGTTTTTAGGTAATTAATATAACTACAAAAGTCACACATCAATCACACCGTATACAAACATTTTTTGGTATTAAGTAAAAAAAATGAATGAATATTTTTGTGTTTTTTTTCGCTAATTTTTTTTAATATACTCTTAAGTTGTATCTTACGTATACCAATACCAATACAGTAGTATAGCAACTCTATAAATCAGAAATCGTACCTGAAAGGTATTTTATTGGGCTAAAAATTAAAAAAAAAGTCACCCCTTCCCCTAAAAAAAACATCTTTTTTTTCAATGCTATTTTATTTGATTGCCTTTTGAACGAGTTTTTATCGAAATGCAATATTGTTTTCTTAATGTTTTCGACATTTCAATTTATCTACTATTAACAATGAAATCATAGTTATCATCAGTTATCTCTATAATTACTAATCCATTAATTTTGATCTTGGTCATAGACATACATTGTAACCAGATGACAAACTCCGTATAATCGATTAACGAAAATTTGAAACCGACAGCCATTTGCTGGTGGGGCAAAAACGATAGTTAAATATCGATACTTTAGGTATTGACATGCTAGTATCATAGTCATATCGATATCACTGTATACAAATATCGATAGCTCACTATGGTTTTCCTTCACCGTATATAAAGGCGTTGTGCTTTAATGATCAAACGTTGAGTAATAAAATAATGGATGTCCACCAAGCTTATCGCCCGAGAACAATGTGATAGCAACAATATATCACAACGTTATACAGCTACATGGTTTATATAATTCAATAATCAAATTATAATTATTTTTACTAAGTATCAAAAACGTGCTGGGGCTTACACGCGTTGTAATAAATCTACTGTGATTACTATTAGGCGTAATACAGTTATTATTATAACTGCATTTTAATTTTTATAGTCATAGAAAACGTTTTCTGTACAAGCTAGATGGACATAATAATAAACGGACTACCCGGTGTTCAGGTAGCCGATTGCGCTCTGTATTCAGCGTTTGAGCTATATTGTGTACTTTTTTTAAATAAATTTGATATTGTTTAAAAATTGTATTTAATTTAAAAGCAAGTCAGCAGCAGGCCGGTTATACGGTTTTCGGCTGTACCGCGGTAAC